GTTCCATTGAGGACCACACACTGAGTACGGCCGGTCAGCCAGCTACGAATCCATCTGGTGGTGATGCTGTCTAACCCACATTTTTCTATCTTACCAAGTAGTAGGTTGTGGTCTACTTTAACAAATGCCTTACTGAAGTCCAAGTAAATTATATCCACAGCATTCCTCTGGTCCACTAATTTTGTCACTTGGTCAAAGAATGCAATAAGATTTGTCTGGCATGATCTGTTTTTGATAAACCCATCTTGGCTTTTAGTAATGGCTTTGTTTGCCTCTAGGTGTTCGCTGATTCGTTGTTTGATGATCTTTTCCAGAATCTTCCCAGGTATTGAGGTCAGGCTGATAGGTCTGTAATTTCCTGGGTCCGTTTTTTTTTTCCTTTTTTGAAGATGGGAACTACATCAGCTCTTTTCCAGTCCTCTGGTAGTTCCCAAGTGCTCCATGATCTATGAAAAATATAGTTCAGTGGTTCTAAGATCACATCTGCCAGTTCCTTGAGAACCTTGGGGTGTAATCCATCTGGTCCTGGTGATTTGAACTCGTCTAGGCTGGACAGGTGCTCACTTACCATTTTCTTGCCTATCTTAACTTGTGTTTCTAATCTGTTTTTTATGGTACTGTTTTTGATAGGTTGGACTGTTTTTCCCTTTGTGTAAAGACAGATGCAAAAAATGAGTTAAATAGTTCTGCTTTCTCCCTGTTGCTTGTCACCTTCTTGCCACTTTCCCCCACTAATGGACCAATCATTTCCTTAACTTTTCTCTTGTTTTTTACATGTTGAAAGAAGCTCTTTTTTTGTTATTTTTGACTTTGGTCGCAAGCTTTAGTTCATTTTGGGCCTTAGCTTTCCTCACTTCGTCTTTGCAGGCTCGGGCTATTTGCTGATATTTTGCCTTAGTTATGTGCCCCTCTTTCCACTTTTTATACTTGTCCTTTTTATCTTTCAATTTATCAGAGAGTTCTTTATGCAGCCATGCTGGTTTCTTTTGAGAGCTGTTATTTTTGTTCTTTGTTGGTATTGTGCTAGACTGGGATTTTATTATCTCACTTTTCAAAATTTCCCAAGCTTCTTGCGTTGTTTTCCCCCTGAGGATTCTCATCCATGGAATCCTTCCCAAGCTCTCTCTAAATTTATTGAAATTAGCTCTCTTAAAGTCCAAGCCTCTAGTTTGACTGTGTTCTATTGCTTGTGCTTCAATAATACTGAATTCCAATATTGCATGATCACTTCCCCCCAAGAGACTTCAAAGAGACTAGACCAGTGATGGCGAACCTTTTAGAGACCAAGTGCCCAAACTGCAACCCAAAACCCACTTATGTATCATCGGGTGCCGGGTGGGTGTGGCCCTTTGGGTGGGTGTGGCGCATTGGGTGGGTGTGGCTGCAATGGTAACAGCAGACTGGGTGGGACTAAAAAGTTCAATCAATCAATTCCAACTTTGCAAGATCTTTTTTTTCCCCGCAAGAAGTTGAAATTGACTGACTGATTGAACCTTTTTTTTTTTGTACACAGCGGTGGAGGCATAAAGCAAAAAGGTTTTATAAAACCCAGCTGAAGTCCTAGGACTGGGGCGACGGCACGCGTGCCCACAGAGAGGCTCTGAGTGCCGCCTCTGGCACTCGTGCCATAGGTTCACCACCACTGGACTAGACAATCACCTGAGATGGTATAGGTTCTCCTGCTTGAGCAGGGGGCTGGAATAGAAGACCTCCTAGGTCTCTTCCAGCTCTATTCTATTCAGACTGCTGATTAGTACATTTAATTTACCTCTAAGAAAGAATTTGGACTATAATACCTTACCTGCACACACCATATTCATGTTTGTCATATTTCTATTAAGTAGCTTGCATTGATACATGTTGTGGCATATTGTTATTCTTAATACAGTACCAGTTATGCTCAGAGTTAGTTGTACGTTAATTGTGTTTAAAATAGCCTTGATAAGGTTAATAACTATTTTTCTGTGTGTGAATAAAGAGTAGAATGAAGGCCATCGAGTGCATAGTGTGAACACTGGCAAGTGAATTATAACTCTTTTATAGCAGCTTATGTCTAATCCTTCTGTTATCTAGAATAGTATATCTGCTATCCTACAAAGAAATATCTTATATTACTTCCAGGCAAACTGGGCCAGATACTGCCAAAGCAAATGGCCACATTGCCATGACACTCTGAATTGGTTTCATTTGTGAAAAATTCAGATGCCTCAAGATAAACTAATCGCTTCCTGTAAGTGAAGGAAACAAACATTTTTGTAGTCACTTTGTATTCATTAGCTTCTTACAAAAGAAATAAGCCAAAAGAGACCCAGTGATAACACCACAAGTAACACTGCCAGTACTATGCTGAGCCTTCTCCAGTGGGATTCTTCCAAATCTGTTAAACTTCCATAATTCTCAGCCAACGTGGTGAGCACAGATGGGAACAGCAGTGTTTAATTAATAAATTATATTAACACACATAATAAGAGGGATGAATAAAAAACTTTGAAGAACTAATACAAAGTTTGCAAAAGTAAAAAATATTTTAAGTAAAAGAAACTAAAGAAAACAATTTAAAAAGGATAGCATGCAAACAGTAACTACATTTCTGGGTGTTGCATAGGGATAGGATGGAGAAATACTGAAAGTGGAAAAAGCTTAAATAGGATTTCTTGAATCTTGAACTAAAGCTATGTATCTAACTAAATTCACAGTGTTGTTGCAAAACATTATGATTTGTCAAATATATGGAGAAACATAATTGAAAAAGCAAAAAATAACTCCATCTGAAATATTTTTGAAAGCCATTTCATGACATCCTTTTTAAAATTATTTTGAAAAAAATACTTTCCAATTCCTTCATATTGCATGATATTGGCTTTTTCTTTGTAGTTAATACTTGATAAAAATATATCCCATCAAACTATTTCTGGTTCCACTGATGTTTATCTGGCTAAAAAAATTACCCATTCCTAACCTAATTTATTCAAAACAATCCCCATAACACTGACACCAATGGCAGCTTTTGAAAGAAAAACCATTTTGGCTTAGTAATGTCCATAAAAAAGCCAATGTGAGATTAAGAAAATATCTTAAGAATGGCTTTCTGTTTGGCATTCAGTTCCAACAAATAACATCTAAATCTATAGTTTGCTAAGAATTTTGAACTGAACAGAGATGAATAAGTATTGATTATCAATTCTGATATACGATTGATTGTAATCTTCGATTAGAGGGAATGATCTTAATTGAATGTAAAATGTATAAGTAGGAATATATTAGTTAACTGAATGTGTATCATCAAGCTGGTGTCAACTCTCAGCAACTTCATAGATTTTTTTCCAGGACCATCTGTTCTCAACGTGGTCCTCCAAATCTTCAATTGTGCACCAATTGCTACTAAAGTCCCTCAATCTTGATTCTGGTTCTCCTTTTCTCTATCCTCCCATCTTTCCTATCTTTGTAGATTTCTCGAAGAGCTAGGTCTTTGCATGATGCCTCTAAAACAGACATGTCAAACTCATGTCACGTGACATCGCACAACATATCGGAGCTTTTTCCCCATTGGCAGCAATGGGGTGGGCGGTTTCCTGGTGATGCGTCTGGCCCGTGGGCCAGCAATTTGACACCCCTGCTCTAAAATATGATAATTTGCACCTGGTTATACCTTGAGTGAGTACTCTAGATTGACTTTTTCTATAATCTATGTTTATTTTCTTGGCTAGTTGTGATTTTCTTAAGCATTTTCTTTAACAGCAAAGTTCAAAAGCATCAATATTTTTTCTATCTTGTTTCAAAATCCAATTTTCACTTCCATAATGGTACAGAGAAAGTCACTGCATGATTCTGTTCTTTGTAGATATAGACATATTATGACATATGAATAGTCAGTTTGATTTAGTGGTTAAGGCAATAGGCTAGAAAGTGGGAAACCCTCCTACCTTAGCCATGAAAGCCAGCTGGGTGACCTTATCCTAGTCACCTTGACCTAGCCACTTTCTCTCAGCCCAGCTTAGGGTTGTTGTGGGGAAAATAGGAGGAGGAAGATGTATTGGATAGGTTCACTGCTTTGAGTTATTTGTAAAAATAATAAAGGTGGAATACAAATGAATATCTTTTCTAAGGCCTTCATTGCTACCCTACACTGCTTATTAATCTAATAAACAGCTTTGTGGCATTTCTGTGTAGCAAGATTAACATATTATTGCATATGCTTTGATTGACTACCATCTACTTCATCAACTGTTTCCTGAGTACCTATATATAATATATATTTCTGATGGGAACTGCAATAAATACTGGAACTAAAATACAGAAAAGGTAGTATAAAAATTATCTTTGCCTTAATAGTGACTGCTGAATTCGGTAAACAGTTCTTGAGTGATAACACAATTATCCTTACATTGGGAAGACAATTAACCCGGTTTAGATACCCTTCACACCGACTGACGAGGAGAACAGTGTTTTTTTTTCCCGCACTAGACAACTTTTTCACATCAAGTTATGATTAACGAAAAAAATCACGAGACAACAGCAAGGCATTCTAGGAAACATTCATTTCAGTTTCCATTCTCACAGAAGCGCTAATGTTTTTGAAACGGAAATACTACATTTCCCAGTCGTCTTTGTTGAAAAACATTCTCTCTCTCTCTCTCTCTCTCCTCTCTCGAGTTTTTCCTGTACGGCGTTGCATGCCGGTAGTAGTAGTTTCCAACTACCCCCATTCGATACCACGCCGCCTGGTTTCCTTGGAAAAGAAAACTACAATTCCAATCTGCCTTAGCCGGCTGCGCTTGCGCCGTCTGCATGGAAGGAGGGAGGGGAAAGGCCGTTACGTCGCGGGCAACGGCCACGGTAGTGAAGAGGCAGTAAGCGGTAGTACCGGAGGTTTACGTGTTCGCTGCCGGATTTGACCCGAGTAATAAGAAGAGGGCGAGTTTTGTCAGGTTCTGTGCGTGCTGGTGGAAAAGCGGGGATGAAGCTGTGAGGGAGTGCGTACCGAAAGAAGTGAAAAAGGAAACCAACCGCAGGCAGGCAAAGGAGGAGGAGGCGCGAAGCGATGTCTCAGCCGCCCCAGCAGGAGCAGCAGCCAGTGGCAACGCTGGTCCCGAAGAAGAAGGACCGGCGTATCTTCTCGGGCACTTGTCCTGACCCCAAGTGTCAGGCGCGCCTGTTTTTTCCGGCGCACGGGCCTCTGAGCAGCGGGAGCATCGAGTGCACGGACTGTGGGCAGCGTCATGAACAGCGGCAGCTGCTGGCAGTGGAGGAGGTGACTGATCCAGACTTGGTGCTGCACAATTTGCTGCGGAACGCATTGCTAGGAGTCAGCGGGGCGGGGCCCCCTAGAAAGAACACCGAGCTGGTGAAAGTTATGGGCCTGTCCAATTATCACTGCAAGCTGCTGTCGCCCATTCTAGCCCGCTACGGCATGGATAAACAGACGGGCAAAGCTAAACTACTAACTGAGATGAACCAAGGAGATGTCTTTGATTGTGCTCTTCTTGGGGACCGTGCCTTCCTTATTGAGCCTGAGCACGTTGACACTGTAGGATATGGCAAAGATCGCTCTGGTAGTCTCCTGTACTTGCAGGACACCTTGGAGGATATTAAGAAGGCTAATAATAGCCAGGAGTGCCTCATCCCAGTCCACGTGGATGGTGATGGCCATTGTTTAGTCCATGCAATTTCCCGAGCGCTGGTGGGTAGGGAACTCTTCTGGCATGCTTTGCGGGAGAACCTCAAGAAGCACTTTATGGAGAATCTCAGCCGCTATAAAGCCCTTTTTCATGACTTTATTGATGCCGCAGAATGGGAAGACATAATCAATGAATGTGATCCTTTCTTTATTCCTCCTGAGGGTGTACCAATGGGTCTTAGAAACATCCACATTTTTGGACTAGCCAATGTTTTACATCGACCCATCATCCTCTTGGATTCCTTGAGTGGAATGCGTAGTTCAGGGGATTATTCTGCCACATTCCTTCCTGGATTGATACCAGAAGAAAAATGCATGGGGAAAGATAGCATGCTGAACAAACCAATCTGTATTGCCTGGAGTAGTTCTGGGCGTAATCATTATATTCCTCTGGTTGGAATAAAAGGTGCTGCTTTGCCTAAATTGCCTATGAAATTACTTCCTAAAGCTTGGGGAGTGCCTCAAGACCTTATTAAAAAGTATATCAAATTGGAAGACGATGGTAGCTGTGTGATTGGAGGAGACAGAAGTTTGCATGACAAATATTTGATGAGGCTAGTTGCAGCCATGGAGGAAGTTTTTATGGATAAGCATGGCATTCATCCCAGTTTAGTAGCTGATGTACATCAGTACTTCTATCGGCGGACTGGTGTAATAGGAGTTCAGCCTGAAGATGTTACAGCAGCTGCTAAAAAGGCAGTTATGGACAACCGACTTCACAAGTGTCTCATTTGTTGTGCTCTTTCAGAACTTCATGTTCCTCCAGAGTGGCTAGCTCCAGGAGGGAAGCTGTATAATCTTGCAAAAAGTACCCATGGTCAGTTAAGACCTGATAAAAATTACAGTTTTCCTCTGAACAGTTTGGTATGTTCCTATAATCCTGTAAAGGATGTACTAGTACCAGACTACAGTTTGAGTAGTCTGACTGCCTGTAACTGGTGTCATGGCACATTGGTGCGTCGTGTGAGAAGTGATGGTTCTGTTGTATATTTGGATGGGGACAGAACTAATACTAGATCAACAGGTGGCAAATGTGGTTGCGGATTCAAACATTATTGGGAAGGTAAAGAATATGACAATCTTCCTGAAGCTTTCCCTATTACTTTAGAGTGGGGTGGGAGAGTGGTAAGGGAGACAGTGTATTGGTTCCAGTATGAAAGTGATCCATCTCTGAACAGCAATGTATATGATGTTGCAATGAAGCTTGTTACTAAGCACTTTCCTGGAGAATTTGGTAGTGAGATTCTTGTCCAGAAAGTTGTCAATACAATTCTACATCAAACAGCCAAAAAGAACCCTGATGATTACACTCCTGTAAACATTGATAGTGCTCATGCCCGAAGAGCTGATGATATGCAACAAGGACAAGATTTGGCCTCTCAGCTTCCAACCAAAATTATTCTTACTGGGCAGAAAACAAAAACCCTGCACAAAGAAGAATTGACTATGAGTAAAACTGAAAGAACTATTCAACAAAACATTGCAGAACAGGCACCTATAATGCAAAAACGAAAAACTGAAAAATGGAAGCAAGTACAAAAAGGGCCAGCTAGAACTGTGTCTCCTGGTACCATTCCTGATGGGTCATCCTCTGCACCTGCTACTCCCACCAAGACTCCTTATTCTCCAATATCTACGAAAGAAAAGAAAATTCGCATAACAACAAACGATGGGCGACAGACCATGCTCACTTTGAAATCCACTACAACATTTCTAGAATTGCAAGAAAGCATAGCTAGAGAATTTAATATTCCTCCACATTTGCAATGTATTCGTTTTGGCTTTCCTCCCAAGGAGCTACTGCCACCTAAGGAAGGGCAAGAAAATGAACCTGTTCCTCTGCTACATGGAGATAGAATAACTATAGAGATTCTTAAAGGAAAGGAAGATAGTCACCAGGCTAGTTCAGTACACTCTGCTCATGTCGTGAAGCATGATGATATTGCTGTTACTAGCAGAATTTCTTCCAAGGAACTTCAAGAGCAAATAGACAAGGAAATGTACTCTTTGTGTCTTCTTGCAACATTTATGGGTAAGGCAATACTAATCTCCTTCTTTGAGGTATAAAAATATTTGTACAGCTAGAAATGTACAGTGTCCAGATAAGTTCTTTAGTAATAATTAAAACACTTCTTTCCTGGCTTTTAGCAGACTGATCACTGTAGGTTAGGAGCATTTTAATATTACGTAATGTGGCAATCCTGTATTGATTGAATTCATTGAAATAATTCTGTTTAGAGAAGGATTGTGCCTTAAAGAAACTTTGAAAAACTATTAATTGCAAATTTAGACAAAAACCCCTATTTTATTTAACTTTTTTTGGAATGCTATTTATGAAGCACTGATATAATGCTCGTAAATGTGAGGTGTTGAAATAGTTTCAGATATATTCAGCACAAATTTTATCTCAGTTTATTTAAAGTATAATATTAATGTTTGTTGTTTATACTTTTTTCATAGGGAATTATTCCATGGGGAATTAGTGTTCTTAAAATATGCGTTTAAATCTGAAAATTACTCTAAATTTATATTCACAAAGTTGATGTATTAACATCACTTATTTATTGTATTAAGCATTATCTGCTATTTGGCCAAATCTAAGAATTATGTTTTAGGACACTTTTCACTTAATTGGCGATATTAACAGATTGTTTTGCAGCTCTTATAACTGGTTACAGGCTGCATGACATAGAAAGCTGATTGATATATATGTCTTAAACATTATATTACTGCAATTAAAAAAAATCTTTTGGATGTTAGAATGGCCTCAGGTTTCCAAAAAATCCTCCAAGAATGTATTTCCTTTTATTACCCCCCTTGTTCTTTAATTTGAAATGGACTTTCCAATCCAAGCAATATAAATAAAGAAGTGCATTTTTTTTAAAGTGAAGCTTCATTGTGTAATCTTATGAATTGAAAGCTTAACAATATGTCTTGTATGAGAGACAAGCAATTTTATTCTTTCAAATGAAATCATGTTTTCAATGACCCGTACGACTGAGAATCTCCATAGACATATTTTCAATAAAAATTCAGTCCTTTTCCTGGAATCATCTTTTCCTCTTGAATGCAAGTTGAAAAGATGTAAGGAAGAGAAAGTTGCTTGCTTGTTTGTTTATTCATTCAGTTTCTATAGCTGTCCATCTCAGCCAATGACTGTGGGGCGGCTTACAATTCAAAAAAATATATTACAGTTAAAAATACTTAAAACCTTTTAAAACAATAAAAACACAAAAAACATTCAGATTAAATATACATAGGAGCTAGATACTTGGACAGTTAGCAATACAGCCTGGAAATGGAGCCCTTAACACACTCAGCACCCCAGGCAGGGGAACAGAGCCAGGTTTGAGTGTCTTACAAAAGTCTAATAGGGTTGGGGCCATTCTAATCTCTGAAGAGAGGATATTCCATAGAGCAGGGACACTGCAGAAAAAGTTTGTCTCTAATCCTTGCCAGCTGACACTCTTTGGCTGATGGGCTCTGTAGCATGCCCATTCGGCTTGATCTAATTGGAAGATAAATAAGTGTGCATCTAATACATTTGTGGCTGTATGCATGTGACTATGTGAAAAGTGAATGTACTATGATAGTCTTTTTCCAACCTGGTTTACTACTGTCAGAATTGGAAATCTTTATAATAATTATCTGTGTTGGGTCCAGCACATCTGGAGACATCAGGCTAGTATGTTATAATGAATGATATATTTTGGGGTGGCCTGACTCAAAACATTACTAATCATAGTGTAAGTAAAGACCTTTGTACAAAATTCAATTTTGTACGATCTATCTATTCTTTATTTATGAACAGGACTTATTATTCTTATTACTCTTTACTCAAACTAACAACATTGACCAGTTATATCTAAATTTGGGATTATTATAATTGGATTATTACAAATCATGTTATCAAACCATTATTTAGTTAACTAGTTTCAAGTAATACTAATTTATTAAAGTTTGGACAAAACAGGAAATTGTTCAAAAGCAGAAACTATATGTCTCTCTATGCATCAACTAAGAAACAGGCAAGTGAGAGTCTAAGTTTGAAATAAATACAGGCATGCTGACACTTCTGATTACTTCTGAACTGTGTGCATTGTGTTAACTAATTGCATACAAGATGCTGTTAAGTTTCTTAAACATGAGTTTTAAGACTTGGAGGAAGGCTTGGCAATGATTTTTTTTAAGTGAAATATCACTGTGCCACAGAAATAGCAAGTCATGCCCTTGATCTGGTTTTCACTACAGATTGGATTGGGAATAACCTAGTAATGGAAGGGATTAGTGTGACCTTTTTATCAGGGGTTATTTCCTGGATTAATCATAAGTATCTCTTATAAATGTGAAAGTGTTCCATATGTATCTGAAAAAGAATATAAGAGTTCGTCTTAGATTGAGACTGAATGTAATATGGAGACAGGAAAATAACTTCTGTTTAATATTTTTGGAGGAATTCAAATTTCCAATTCAGAATCATATTCCTTTCAAGTAAAGATGGTATTAAAATGGTTCATCTCCAGATGTTTATACAATCTGACAGATTCTTGAATTGCCTGACATTGTGGGAGGAGAGTCTATAGTTAGTCCTTCATCAGCTGTGAAAGCTTATGCCTTTTAACAAAACTTGTTAGTTAAATTGCCTGGGATATTTTTCAACTGGTAAAGCTTTGTTTCCTGTGAAATAGTCTAAACTTATTGTGACATGTTAAGTAATCTTGAAGGCAGTTTCAAGCATAGATTCTAACTAGAGAAAGATGGAGTTTTTTGGCTATAGCCATAGACCTTCAGATGGTGTAGAATGGTAATAATTTGAAACCAAAGATATGGTTTGGTTTTAAAACACTGTTAGAAGATAATAATCTTACTTATATGTGATACAGGACAAATGCTTATTCCAGTGCAATCAATTTTGCTTTATTTTTTAAAAAAATATTTTTCTGAAAAAATATTATTGTTTAGCTTTTTATGTGGTGAGTTTTAAGATGTAAACAGTGAAAGTAGGAAAAATGGAGTAGGATAGAGTTAAAATGGCCTTTATTGTGACAGAATATGAGTATATTAAATGTAATGTCTCTTTAAATTGATCCGGACTGATGATTTTAGGGAGACAGTCATTCAGTTTTCCTGGAAACAGGGCTTTTTTTGTCATAGAACTCCCAGAACGGAGTTCCGGCATCTTTTTTGGATGGAACCTTGTAGGGTAGGCAAGGCGGGTTGTATAATGTGTGTGAGTTCTGGCACCTTTTTTTTTTTGTTGTTACAAAAAAAGCACTGGCAGGCAATATAGAAATGATTTGCCATTCTCTTCTGGGATGTTTCTTGATTTCCTTATCTACCCTGTAGACAAAGTGAGCCATGTGCTGCTGATCTTCTAAGTTTTAAGACAGGCATATAAGCACTTCAAGGGCTTTTTCAGGTAATCTGTTAATGTACAAAAGACACTTCTGCTGGAATTGCTGGCCTTGTCACAAATACCTTCTGGGCCTGCCTGGAAGGCTCCTGAAATAGCTGTGCTGAATCGTCAGTAGGATATAGCAGCCATGACCCTTCAAGAAGTAGCACTATGGTTGCAGTCCTAGTTTGTGTGTGTAGAGTGTTTTGATTTGCAAAATTCACTGATAGAGAATGTTCTGTCCTCTCTCTGAACCATGCTGAAATTTAGCTGGACTCCACCATTCTGGATGCTGTTTGATGGCCTGGGCAGTTCGCAACAGTTAAAGAAATTGCAATAAAATCAAAAGGTGACGGTGAGACAGACTAGATGGGATGAAGTAAAGGATCTTATTTTTCCTTGCCAAAGACCTCAGTGAAGAACTAGGTTTCACATTTATTCTGTATAACAACAGAGTAGGATCCATCCAGATCTCAAAGGCAACATCAAGAGGGCAAGTGCCCAATCAAGACATTCAGAAGTGGAATTCTTTACATATCTGTATCATGCATTAATCTGAAATAATTTTATCTTCATTTCTTGCAGGGTTTTCAAAGGCAACTTGCAGCTATAATTAAAATACAGTGTAAGACACGATTTTCAGTGTCACTTATTTTATAAAGAAATAAGAAAGCACATCATCCTGACTTTTAGAAAACATGGTATATCTGGAAAAGCTATCTGCATTCTGTTTCTTGAATTAATTTTTACTTTGTATTCACAGGGGAAGATGTTTGGTCTTATGCAAAGGGGCTTCCTCATTTGTTCCAGCAGGGTGGCGTATTCTACAATATAATGAAGAAAACAATGGGTATAATTTATAATTTTATGTTAATGTATCTTTTCTACCATGCTGTGCTTTATATATTTAATACTTTGGTATTAACTACTTTAGACTGATATATCTAATTATCTGTATGCTGAAGTTCTTGATCTAGAATCAAAATCTGAAAAATGAATTCAAGTCAAGAATTGAAAAGGACATTGTGATAGAATTAAAATGGAAGACAAATGTACTGTAAAATGTAAGGATCTGAAGACAAGATGTGCTGATATTATTTGGTAATAGGATTCACCTATCTATCACTTCCGCTATTGCTAAGGTGAGGGAGACTTTATACGTCTCCATAATGGCATATAATGTGCAAGATTGCATAAGCTGCAAGATAATATTGTCTGCTTTCCTTAGCCATATTGGTTCCTATCTCATAAATATATTTGTCCACAAACTCATAAGGGAAAAACAGAAACTGAATTTGGTGCTAGTGTTGAATTTCCCTGATACCTTCCTCCCTCACTACTTTCTGACTATCTTTCCTCTGCTCAGAAAAGACGAATGAGGAATCCTTTTTTAGATGTTTTATTTTGATAATCTTCACTTTAATGGACAGAATTTATTAATTACAATTTGTCCATTTTCAATATTGCATATTATTGTCTTGTAGAGGTTTTCTAATCGTATCACACATTCTTCATAGACTCTTATTGAAGTTTAGTCTATCATTGTGTTCTTTCTGAAAAGTAAATATCACTATGAAAAAGATAAAATAGTAATTTATGCTTATCTATTTTCTTAAGTCGGTGAATATTTGTTTTTGTATGTGCTGTACTTTTTATGCAAAATAGCCAAGCATAAAAACATAAATAAGTATGTATTTTTATATACTTTGTCAGGGCTTTTTTTCTCATAGAACGCCCAGAATGGGGTTCTGGCACCTTTTTTGGATGGAACCTTGTAGGGTAGGCAAGGCGGGTTGTATGACGTGTGAGAGTTCCGGCACCTTTTCTTTTTTAGAAAAAAAGCACTGCTCTTTGTTATGGCTATATAAAATTTCCAGGTTTAAAGTCAATGAATGTTAAAGAGCAAAGTCCACATACACATTTCACTAGAGCATTGGATCTTATTTAGTCAGTCTTCTATTCTTTTTCATTTTGTATTTTTGAATGTATTTGGGGTATATAAATAATTATTTTTATATTTCATCATAAATTTAAGCATTATTAAAAGTCATAAATATGCATTTTTTATTACTCTTGCAGGTCTGGCTGATGGTGAACACTGTACTTTTCCACACTTGCCTGGCAAGACCTTTGTATACAATGCAACAGAAGATAGATTGGAACTTTGTGTGGATGCTGCTGGGCATTTCCCAGTAGGTTCTGATGTGGAAGACTTGGTTAAAGAGGCCCTAAATCAAGTACGAGCAGAAGCTTCTTCAAGAAGCAGGGAAGCAAGTCCTTCACATGGATTGCTAAAATTAGGTAGTGGTGGCGTAGTTAAAAAGAAATCAGAGCAACTCCACAATGTAACTGCATTTCAAGGAAAAGGCCATTCTCTAGGCAGTGGAGCCAGTAGCCAGCAGCTTCATCCAAAAGTTAGGGAAGCTCCACTTGGAAGAAAACAAAACACAGGTACAGATTTTAGTACCAATTCTGCTAAATTGGATCCTTCCATGTATACAGCTGATTCTGGAAATAGTGAACTTATACGGATAGCTCCTGGAGTAGGAACAATGAGAGATAGTAGACAACTTGATCCTAATTTAATTGAGGCACAGCGGAAAAAATTGCAGGAAATGGTTTCTTCAATTCAAGCATCAATGGACAGACATCTGCGAGATCAAAATACAGAGCAATTGGCAACAAACGATTTTTCTCAAAGGAAATTAGAGGCAACAAGTTCATCAGTTAAAACAAAGAGCCCTCAAATGAGTTTAACTGAATCTTTTACTTTATCAAGTGGCAGTGGACGTTTGAATACAGAAATAACTGATAGTAACATATCAAATGCTTTGGGAGCACCATTCTCCACAAGATCAAAAACCCAGAAAGGAAATTCTGTCGAAGACCCTGAAGAAATGGATAGCCAAGATGCAGAAATCACTAATACAACTGAGCCAATGGATCATTCATGAAAAATTTAACAGCTATATCAATACAAGAGATTACTGTGCAAATGTAGTTTGTTGGCTGGACCACTTAATTTAGTCATTGAATCTTGTATGTTTCAAAGATTATATGTTACTCATTGCATGATAGCAAGTGTGTGATAGACAATAACTTTTAATTTGACATACTGCTGCCAGGTTAGCTCTCAGTTACCTGTACATTAGTTATTAGAACAAGCACTGAGAAAAAAAAAATCTGCTGTAGTTGTGGGTTATCGCTCTCTCTCTTTTTTTGTAATTTTAATTCCATTTAAGTCTTAATCCTCCAGCCCCTATGAAATCATTAAGATATTTTTTTAGTTTGATATGTGAAAATAAAACCTGACAATGCACTGTGTTTGTCAGATAGTGGTCCATATTTCATTAAACAACATTTGCTTATACTTGACATTTGAAATCAAATTTATATCTGTTAGATAAGTCAAAATGCTGAAGTACATTTACTGATAGTTCTTTAAAATTGTTAAGGAAGATATGGAAGATAGTATATAAGAAACATAAAATAAAGATGTCTGAGCTTTTTCTTGCTTTATTGGCAAGCAATAGTATGTTTTGTTTTCAGTTGGTAAAATGCTATAGTATGTGTTTACATGGCAAAGACAATAAAATGCAAGCATTTAAGAACAGAATAATAAGAATTTGATTTGATTCAGGAACATTTTACAAGTAGGTATTGGTTATCTGTGTTCCCTGTTAATGCTTCTTATGTTGGATTAATCAACATTCATCAGAGGTTTTTCAGTGAACTAATAAAGCTCCTTTTAAATTCCTTACACCTAGGACGTACTTAAAGCTTTTATTGTAATACACCACTTTAATTAAATGGGATCCACTTTAAGCAGCATGTTCACCAGATCTAATTTTTAAGAGACATTGTTTGCTCCAGTAAAAGCAGATGTTTATGTTGATACTAATATTGCACTTTTTGCCTCTTCGCATATTTCTATTTATGTGCATTATTACTACTACATCTGATAAAAATAAACTTGAAAGAGTGAAAGACAATATAGAAAAATATAGGAAATAAATCTTAGGTTCATAGTTATTGAATCCAGTGCTTGGGCACATATGACTTTTTCTGTCTATAAATACGTTTATAATATAAATACTTGTACTCTTAAAGTATGTTTAAACTTTTTGCAATTACAATCACACAAAATTACTAAGGAATGCTATGATTAAATACCCCCCCCAAAGGGGAGGTATTAGTTTTTATGTGGGAAAGTTATTTAGAGATACAGTTGCCTCGGTTCATTTGAATATCTTATCCATTCACATACCATTTGTCTTTTCTCCTAAGAGGGAATCCAGATTTTATCTTCTATTACACTATTTGTGTATAAAGCCTTCAAACCACACTTTCACGAATGAGTAATTTTAAATATATAATTTTTCTCTTTAAGAAGTAAAATATGTCAATATACAGTTTTAAAATTGATCCAGGCCATACAGAATAAGATTCCTGCATAATCAGAAAACTACTATAAACTGCTAGCAAATACACAACCAAGTGGACATGACACCAAGAGACCAGTTGTGCACTCATAAGGGATTCATAGGGTGAGAAGTATTTCTGACACAAGTTAAATCCATAATGAATTTCAAAACTAGCATGTAACAGAGTATAAACTGGCTGATATGATAAAAAAGCAGCAGTGCTTTTTCTGAGCAACGGGACATCAACACTGGATATCTTCAAAAAAAATCTGGCTTCTGTCACATAATGTTTAGAATTATGGTGCTAGAGCTGTTGTGAAAAAAATACTTTGGCAATGTTAGCATTTTCTTAAGTCTTACATTTCTAGGACTGGGTAAAACAATGGCAATTTTGAATTGATTTGAATGTAAATTGTTAAAATAGTTTGATAGTTTGGTGACTTTTTGGTAATGAAGAGATGGAATAATGATTCTAGTGAATAAATATGATCAGTATCACTTACTGAAAATTCATATGAATAGGATAAATTGTGAAGCTGGAGAGGCACAAGTGGCTTTTTAATTTTAATATGATTGGTTTGACTAAGAGTTAAGTATTCTTTCTTTAGAAACTTTTCTTTAGGGAATACTCTTAATTTTTTCCCAGGCAAAGAATACATTCTACATTTTTGTATCTTTTCCTTTGTGTGACATTAACAATTTTTTGAAATGCCCAGTTTTAAAAAATTAACTATTAAAGACTTAGGAGCTATGTGAATTTTTCTGCTGCATCTGTAAATGCTTGGTAAACATTACATATTAAGGTTTAATATTACAATGTGTACACAAAGTGTAGCTGATCCCTATCAAAGTTAATGAGACTGAGGTGCACAAATATATGCTCAAAACCATTGACTGTAATAGCATCTTGTTGCAGCTAAACTGCTGATTTTCAGTAAGCTTAAGTTCATATAACTTGCTGTAGTGTTGCCTGTTTCATGATTTAATCAAATACAAAAATAATTAATGGAGAAAAATGTTGAATCTGGCAAAAGAAATAGTAATGATGTCTGAACTGAATTTCCTTAAGAAATAAGTAGCATAGCTGTATCTTTATCACAGTTTTCTTGAAGGGAATGATATCCAGTTTGATAACTGGAAGATCATGATTTTTTGAAGTCAGACTGCTGTTCCTTTCAGGTTAAACAAATTTGTTATTAAATAGCAAAACAATTTTCTCTGTAAATAATAATATAAATATTAGTACAACAGAAGCTTGGCAGTATTCAGTGTACTGGTTTACTAAGAGAATAACCTCTGTGTTACCAGAGGGAAAAAATGCAAATAAAAATAAAATGCATTTTAGAAATTGCTGGCATTAAGGCATTTTGCAGGTTTTAACTTAGATGTAAATGTATTTTATGATACATTATATCCCCTTACTACATTTCTGTATTTGTTGAAAACTAAACATAGACCATGTGCAATTAAAATAACATCCTATGTGCTGGACTGTATCTTACTTCTTTAACTTCTGAAGATTTATATCTCATTATTTACAAGATAAAAAAAGTAACAAAGATTCTGATTTTAAAAAAATACAAAATATTGCTTATGTTCTATTTTTCTTCTGAAACTTTAAAAATTCTAGTCAGCTGGTTGAAAATAACAGTATGTTATAGGAAATATGATATAGGATTTCCTGAGTTATGCTTTCTATTCATTGTTTTAATAAAGAACACAAGAGCATTGCTATACTTTTGTTCTAATAATGCTATATGGAAAATGTAGCTTTTTGAAGATCAAAGTGACCATTTTTTCCCATCAGAAAATTTAATTATGATACAATAGTCTAGCAAAGTATTTTGATGATTGTTCCACCATATCCATATTCAGCTCAGCGTACAACACATAAGAGCTCAATCTATACTGGTTTTTCTTTTAGATAATTTTGATATGCTGGTTGTTAGAACTTCATCAGTAGCCTGATAGGTGGAGTTGTGTATTCAACAATATTTTTTCCAATAATTTTATTAATATCTCATAGTCTTTTACATTTTAAGGTGCTGCATTTAAAATTCTTTAAGTCAGAATTCCTGCTTTGCCTGTGATTGTAGCAAAAGATTGAACTGTAACTGATATTTTTAGATTTTATTTTATTGAAGATTATTGCCAGAAAAGAGTGCACTTTTGGAAGTAATTGGATTTCTAAAAAATGTATATTAAGCATCAGCACTGTATATATTTAGGATATCTTTTAAAATGGCAAGTGCTTTACATATTGAATTAAACTAGAGTAGTAATGATACCATGTCCACAATGCTGGCCATTCAGCACATTTGAATTTTATTTGTGATTGCTGTACTGATTTTTTTTTAATTTGTAATGTAATAATAGTGTATTATAACAGTGTATTATATTACATTTTACTGTACAGTATTTTGAATTTTCTTTGATTGCAATATTAAAAATCTAAGCCAAATGAATTTTTCCTAGTCCTTGCTTCAAGTTACTGTTACTGAGGTGATTATTACAGGCCAACTTTCCCTGCCTTTCATCCAGGCAAATTCCTTTGTATAGGGAGATGGGGGTAATAATGCACCAGTGGCATGCCTTTGTTAAACAGAACTGCATCTCTATCAAAACGTTTCAGCTGTTTCTATGTTTCAGAATGCCAGTTATTTAGGGACATTTTAATTTGGAACTTTGTTAGTTGGACAATACAATCACATGTATTATTTTAAATTCATATACATTATAGATTGGAGAGCACAGAGGTATACACAAAGAAGTTGGATTAGTATAACTTTTCAGAGGACTCTGTTGATGTGTGGTCAAAAATAGGCCTGTGGATTTGTTCATCTAGATATATATCCTGCTTTTCTTTGAACTTGGAGAAATGTACCTAAAGAACTTCTAGACTGTCTCCACCCAGAGAATATTTGGCTGATCTTAAATTTAACTACCTTCAATAATAATAGAGTAATATATTGAATACCTCATCCTACATATGAAGAATATGTGAGATAAATTGCAGGTTCTTGAGCTAAGGGGATAAATTGGGCTATGAACCATTGTATAACATTTTATTAATGGAAATTGGGGGTGGAAGGTTTTTTTGTTTTTTTTTTATAATACTTTTTAAATTTTATTTTTTTTTGTATGATGTCCTGAGCCCAAAGAAATAAAAATAGACATAAAGCTAGTCCTTGACTAACAACCAGTGATGGGATTCAAATAATTTAACAACCAGTTCTCTGCCCTACTGACCATTTTAAGTATTAAAAAAACGATATACCGAAAGGTAATTTATTATTTCATGCATTTAATACTTAAATAAGAACAATAGAAGAACTACACAAAACTAGATTATGTTATAAGAAAGAGTTTTAAAATATTAATGAAAAAATATTAAATAATACCTGACAAAAAACAATAAAACTTAAAGATATTTTCATATTGCTTCTTGACTGGCGTCCTCACTTGCAATTTTCTTCGCTTTTATCCAAGCATCATCGGCTGTGCGATACATTTTTTCACTGTAGGAGTAGGATCCCATTCCTTTAAAGGTAGGCTGATTAGACTAATAGTCATTGTGTTTGATATATTAGAAACAGGTGACTTCTTTTCTCTGAACATATTATGTTCATCTTTGAAAAACCCCTTTCTGCTTCTGCTGAACTTACAGCAATTGTTCTGACAATATTTTTAGCTCTTTGAGCACTTTCAGGAATTGCATAGTTTTGGGAATTTTGGTAATCTGGACAGGAGCCCACCACCACTGCCGCCATGACCAGTCCAGAAGGCCGGGCGCCACCCAAGCCTTAAAGGTCTCCCCTGGCAATGAACCACCGTCCCTGAGATGGGGCAGGCTCTCCCCATGCCGCCCACTGCTCAGTGCGCAATCAGGCTGAGACGGCCCAGGGGACAGGGCTTCTGGGCTAGTGGGCCCTCTCATTGGGAGGTTGGAGCCTCCATCAACTGGGCACCCTTCAATCCAGTGGCTTTGTGGTTTGGGCCGGCCAGGAGGCACAAAAGACGGAGTCTGCCTCGCAAAGGGATGGGAATTAAGGGGCTGGGACACCAAAGCCCATAACCGCTTTGCCGAACTCAACAAAAAATTAGATATTGATTCTGCCAAACCGATGCCAAACCAAAATTTGGGCAATTGGCATGTTTTTTTGATGGTTGCCGTGTCCAGGGGTTATGTGGTCTTTTAATTTGTGATCTCTTTGCTTCTGGTTTCCAACAAGCAAAATTAATGGGGAAAGCTGGATTCATTTAATGATGTATGATTAACTTAACTACAGTGATTCACTTAACTCTGGCAAAAAAAGGTAAATTAACTTGTTTAACAACTGCCTCGCTTAACAACAGAAATTCTGATCCCAATTGTGGGGGTTTGTCAAAGACTATCTACTTATAAGTGATACTGTTTAACAGATACATATTATTTGGAGGAAGATGTACTCAATGATTAATTTATTTCACATGTCTATAGCAGATGCTTTTTGTGAAGAATAATGTATTTGTCAGTGATGTACTGCAATATTAAAATGCTTAATTAGCTTTCAAATCTAATTTCAGACATGGAAGGTCATTAGTGTCTTTAGGCTAGCAAATTAAAAGGTATGTCTGCTTATCAAGAAGCAAATGAAGGAATTGATAACTTTGCTATTTTAGAAGCAAAGGCAAATATAAATTCTTATTCCATATAAATAATATTTAATGTTAATATTTATGTCAATTATGTATTCCAGTATTTGAGGGGCTGCCACAAAGAAGAGGGCGTCAAACTATTCTCCAAAGCACCAGATGGCAGGACAAGAAACAATTGTTGGAAACTGATCAAAGAGAGAAGCAATCTGGAATTAAGGAGAAACTTCCTAACAGTGAGGACAATTAACCAGTGGAACAGCTTGCCTCCAGAAATCGTGGGCGCTCCATCACTGGAGGTTTTTAAGAAGA